ATAAAATATAAAAACAACATAAAAATTAAATTAAATTAGATTCAAATACATTAAATTCAAATACATTAAATTCAAATAAATTAAATTAAATTTAACATAACCTGACATAAAAACACATAAAACAAAATAAAGATAGATATAATAAAAATCGGATAAAATAAGATAAATAAAATAAAGGTAAACTAAAATAATCTGAAATTAAAGTAAAGTAAATTAAAATAAAATAAAATAAAACAACATGAAATAAAATAAAAATACCCTGAAATAACATAAAATAAAAATTAGAAAAAATGAGATTAAATATAATAAATATAAAATCAAATGAAATAAGATCAAGTAAAATAAAAGATAACATAAAATAAAATAAAATAAATAAAATAAAATAAAATAAAATAAAATAAAATAAAATAAAATAAAATAAAACAACCTAAAATTAGACTCAACTAAAGTAAAATAAAATAAAAGTGAGATGTTATAAAATAACGTAAGTTAAAATAAAATAAAAGATAAAATAACAAGAAATAAAAATAAAATAAAATTAAGTACAATAAAATAAGATTATATATAATAAAAATAGGATTAAATAAAATAAAATAAGATTAAATATAATAAAAAAAATAAAATAAAATAAGATAAATTAAAATAAAATTAAGATAAAATGAAACAAAGATGAAATGAAACTAAACTAAAATAAATTAAATTAAAGGAACTATAAAATTAAATTAAATTAAATTAAATTAAATTAAATAACCTACAATTAGACTAAACTAAAATAAAATAAAATAGAATAAAAGTGAGATAAAATAAAACAATGTAACTTAAAATAAAATTAAAAAAAGATGAAGTAACACAAAATAAAAATAAGATAAAATAAGATTAAATATTACAAAACTAAGATAAAATAAAACAAAATAACCTAAAATTAAACTAAACCAAACTAAACTAGAATAATATAAGTGAAGTAAAATAAAATAAGATTAAATATAATAAAAATAAGAAAAAATTGAGATAAAATGAGATAAAATGAGATAAAATAAAATAAAATAAAATAAAATAAAATAAAATTACATATAAGAAAAATAAGATAAATTAAGATTAAATAAAATAAAGATAAAATTAAGATAAATTAAAATAAAATTAAAATAAAATATAAAGGGATAAAATAAAAAGGAATAAAATAAAAAGGGATAAAATAAAATAAAATAATATAAAATAAAATAAGATAAAATAAAATAACGATAAAATAAAATAAAATAAAGATAAAATAAAATAAAATAAAATAAAATAACGATAAAATAAAATAAAATAAAATAAAATAAAATAAAATAAAATAACGATAAAATAAAACAAAACCAATTAAAAAAAGCCCAAAATAATTAAAATTTCTGTAGAAAAGTGCAGAAAAGAAAGAACCGAGTGAGAATTCACCGAGCAGCAAAATGAACTCAACCCCCGAAATCTCGGCTTTTTCTCCCCTCGGGACTTCCCCAAAGCGCCCGGAAACCCCAAAAAAGCCCAAAAAAACCCAAATTTGGGCCCCAAATTTCACTTTCGCTGCAGCTGCAGCTCTCGGCACCTGCAGCCCGGGCTGGGCGCTAATTAGGAGGCTTAATTACAGTAATTAGGGCTGGTAAATAAGGTTTAAAATCAATTAAAGCCCCACAAAAAAAAACCCCTAAATTAATGTGAATAATTAACTTTATTTGGGCTAACCATTAATGAATTAATATAATAAAATAAAAATACATTTATAAATATATAAATAAATAAATACATATAAATACATATAAATAAATATAAATACATATAAATATAAATAAATACAAATACGTATAAATATATAAATATATTTTATTGATAAAATATAACTAGAATATTTAATTAATAGCAAATATTTATAACATTTTAATTATATTATATATAAATAGATATAAAAATATAAATATATAAAAAAGAAAATTGTAAATATACAAATAACAAATAAATATATAAACATATATTTTTATATCTATAATATATATGCATATATATAAATAATGTATTTATTATATTAATTTTATAAAATTATTATGCATTATATATTATATTAATTTAATAAAAACACATCAATTAACATAATAAATTAAATAGACAATAAACAATAAATAAATGAAATCTAATTAAAATTATTCATTACATGACACCAGGCAATTAATTAATTTCATTCCCTTAATTCGAATTCCGGAAGGTTCTGGATCCATCCCTGAGGTTCTTCCGGAAGGTTCTGGATCCATCCCGAGGGTCCCCAGGTTCTGGAGCCAGCCCGGGGTTCTGGACTCTCCTGCCGGCTCCTGGATGGTGCTGAGGTTCCAGATCACCCAGGAGAGTCCAGAACCTCAGCCCCAGCCAGGACCCCGCAGGAGAGTCTGGAACCCCGCGGAATGATCTAGAACCTCAGCAGCAGCCAGGGTTGTCTAGAACCCCTGGGGGGGCTCCAGAACCTTCTGGAAGAAGAGGATCCATCATCGAGATGGATCCAGAACCTTCTGGAAGAACCTCAGGGATGGATCCAGAACCTTCTGGAAGAACCTCAGCACCCTCAGGATGGATCCAGAACCTTCTGGAAGAGCCTCAGCACCCTCGAGATGGATCCAGAAACTTCTGGAAGTGACTCAACACCCTCACGTACGCAGTGAGGGGCACGAGGACACCTGGGGGGGAATGGGGACACACCTGGATACACCTGGGGACACCTGAGATACACCTGGGGACGGCTGGGGACGCCTGAGATACCTGGGGACACCTGGATACACCTGGGGGGGATGGGGACACACCTGGGACACACCTGGAACACACCTGGGACACACCTGGGGACATTTGGGGACACACCTGGGACACACCTGGAACACACCTGGGACACACCTGGGGACATTTGGGGACACCTGGATAGACCTGGGGGCTCCTGGGGGGCACCTGGGAACAGCTGGGGGCACCTGGAACCCAGTCTGGAACCGGATCTAGAACCGGATCTAGAACCCGATCTAGAACCCGCTCTAGAACAGTCTAGAACGTACCTAGAACCCGATCTAGAACAATCTAGAACGCACCTAGAACCCAGTCTAGAACCCAGTCTAGAACGTTCTGGAACCCGGTCTAGAACCCGGTCTAGTACACACCTAGAGCGTGCCTGGGACACACCTGGGAGACACCTGGGGACACCTGGGGACACCTGGGGGGCACCTGGAGGGGGTGGGTTCCCCTGAAATTCCTAAAAATTCCCTTTAAAAAACACAAAAATCCCGATTTTTCTCTAAAAATTCTCATTTTTTCCCAAACATTGTAAAAATTCCCAAAAAAGTCGCAAAAAATCAAAGAAGATCCCAATTTTTTTCCCAATCTTTTCCCAATTTTTTCCCGAAATTTCCTGGTTTTTCCCCAAAATTTTTCAGGAAACATGGCCTGGATGCACGTCCCGTTGCTCACACCCCCTAAACCCCTAAAACTCCACAAAAAAATCCCGTTTTTTCCCAAAAAATCGCCACAAATCCCAAAAAAATCCAAAAAAAATCCAAAAAAAATCCAAAAAAATCCCAAGAATTCCAGCGCCTTCCCAGGTTTCTGCCGGATCCAGAACATCCCAAAAATCCCAAACTGGAAGCCTGAGGTTCTTCCAGAGGGTTCCGGATCCATCCTGAGGGTGCTGGGGTTCCAAATCCCTCTCAGCCCCATCAGGAGAGTCCGGAACCCCGGGCTGATCAGGAACCTGGGGACCCTCGGGATGGATCCAGAACCTTCCGGAAGAACCTCAGGGATGGATCCAGAACCTTCTGGAAGAACCTCAGGACCCCCCGGGACACGCCCGGATCCGGCTTTGCCTCATCCCCATCTCCCCTTTTTCCCGCAGGGCTCCGGGCGGCCGTGACCCTGCTGGAGTCCGGGGGGGACCTCCAGCCCCCCGGGGGGTCCCTGCGCCTCCTCTGCCGCGGGGAAGGATTCGACATCGGGAAATTTGGGGTGTCCTGGGTGCGCCAGAGGCCCGGGAAGGCGCTGGAATTCATTTCAGCCGTCAGCAGGAAGAGCGGCAAGACGTTCTACGCGCCGTGGGTGCAGGGCCGGCTGACGATGGGCAGCGTCACCGAGCTCTGCCCGTTGTCCCTGGCGATGCTGAACCGGCCCTGCACCGACGGCGCGTATCTGGTGGTGCCACCACTGCTGCTGATCCCGGCGACCAATTCCAGCGCCTTCCGTGCGTGGCCGGTTCAGGATCTCCAGGGACAACGGGCAGAGCTCGGTGACGCTGAGCATGAACAACCTCCAGGACGAGGATTCCGGGGTTTATTTCTGTGCCAAAACGTTTGGAAATAGCTGGAACACTGCTGCTCTTGGTCACGGTGACGATGCCGGTGCCAGGCCCAAGCCGCCATTGTTGTTGTAAAGCAAACTCCCCTGAATTCCAAAATTCTGCCCCAGTCCCAGCCCTGTGCCCCAAATCTGGGCCCTTTCACCCCAAACTCCGCCCCTGCTGCCCCCACTCCCCATTTCACCCCACTTTTCCCCTTTTGACCCCAAATCTCCCCTTCCCCTCCAGCCGGGG